CCTGTGCCACCACACGCTCCCACCCACCCAGCCCAGCCCTGGGGACCCACGTTCCCTGGCACCGAGCTGGGACGGGGATCACGAGCCCCACCAGAGACCAGGTCTGGGCTGTCAGCACCCAGCTGGCACCCCAGCGGGCGGGGGGCAAAAGCCACCCAATGTGACACAAGGCGCCCCAGGGTGCTGGGGGAGACAGCCCAGGAGCATTAAATGGAAGGAGCAGCCCCAAAGGGTGAAGTCCAGGGCTGAGCGGGCTCCGAGGTGGCCTCTGCCCATCGTTACTGGTCCCGAGACGGGTCTCCGCTGCACGGCGGTCCTGCAGGCTCAGCACCGTCGGATGTGTAAGGAGCAGCCCCGTACACACCTGGGGAGGCTGAGCCTGTCCCCAGGAGCAGGCGGCAGGGCGGTGGGCGCACAGTCCCTGCCACCACGCTTGCAGGCAGCGAGGGCCTGGACGTGCTGCTGGGCGTGAGCGGTGAGTGCACCGTGTACGGGTCTGACAGCATGTGAACAGCGATGGGGGCAGAGACGTGCAGGCACCCCACGCAGCTCTGGCTGCAGATACACAAGCACTTAGAGCACTGGTATGGAAAGATACAAAATTACATTTGCACATATATGAATGCATATAGCGAGCCTCCCTATGCGCTGCATTGCCCTGGCTTTACCCTGTCCCGGCAGCGAGTGCCCATCAGGTTTGCACCCACTTTGAAGCCCGTTTGCCATCCCGCACGGGTCACATTCCCCATGACTGAGATCGACAAGGCATTGATAGAGTGCGGCTGAAGTGAATCAGACATGAGTGGGTTTTATTTATTTTTATCTCCATTAATATTTCTCCCTTCAGTAAAGATCCCTCCCTGGCCCAGCAGAATATAGTCAGGCACCTCCCTGGGTGTTTTTAAAGCTCCTAAAAATAGTGGTGAGCCCCAGCCAAAGTTAACAGAGCTGAACTTTCCATGGAAAACAGCAGCAGGCAGGACACAGGGGGTGTTTAAAGCAATTAATGTAAAGCTAACGTAGAAGCGCCGGCAGGTCCCCAGCCCCACTCCTGGTCCTGCTGCCATCTCGGCGGGTGGAGCTGGCAGGAGAACTTATTTATATGTTTGCCGAGGTGAGCCCAGCGCTCAACACTCGCCTGGAGAAAGCTGCAGCTCGGGGGAAGACCTGGAGGAAGACACTGGAAAGAATTTTTTAAGGCTGGTGAAGTGTGGCAGCCACAGACAGGACCTTGTTGTTTCCCTCTGCCATGTCCCCACCATGCTGTGGGGTGGCCGGGGGCCATGAGTGCTGTGCAGAGTCAGGGTGCTCCTGGAAAGAGGGGTGCAGAACCAGGGATCTCCCAAAGCCCAGCCCTCCCAGTGGTGCCCAGCACCCATGGCTGCTGCTGTGCCATGCTGTGCCATGTGGGACACAAAGGTGGGGTGACCTGCTGTGGGGAGGAGGGGACGGGAAGCCCTCTTTCTCCCAGGGTGCTGGGGGCGATGGGCCAGGTGCTGGAGGTGATGCTGGTCTGTCCCCGCAGACTGGCGGGAGTACGATGGCCGGGCTCCACGGCGGAGGGGACAAGCTGAAGCTCTGGACCATCTGCTGGGCCAGGTGAAGACTGTCCACCAGCACTGCGTCTGCCACGGTGAGTGCATGGCACGGCACTGCGGGGAGGCTGCGGGGGGGGATCCAGCCAGGCCCCCCAGGGTTGTGACATGGGCTGGGGGGCTGGGGTGGCATCAGGAGTAGATCTGTCCCATGGATGAGCATAGCAGGGAGACAGCTCAGGCAGTGGAGACCTTGACAGAGCCCTTCCACCGGGTTCGCATGGTGTGCCACTGGCTGGCCGGC